CATATTTGTAGGAGACAGTCACGTGAAGAATCAGATTAGGTTATGGCAAGTAGAACTTTCAGATCACAGATAAAATGAAGTAAAATGCCAGAGGCCATGAAGTTTTTCAGTTTCAGTAAAGTCTGAAGTAGGATGTGGCCATGAAGAAAGGACAGAACTAGAACAGTTTCAATGTATAGAAGATCTGTATGAATTCTACGAACAATAACAAATAAAAAACCCTTGGACCTAATCTCCTAGGTAATAGGGCTTCAACGAAACAGAGAGTGCCATCATGCCATGGTTTCTAGTTTGAATCATAACTTTGCAGATAGATTGGGGCAGAGGGAGGAAATACTGATATAGTTGATAAAAGCTGGCATAAGTCATGGAGATTACCGAAATACGGCATATAGATTCAATAAATGTTTCAAAATCAGTGTCATGAGACATTGATTTGGATATCAGAAATAAGAGACTAAAAAAAGTCAAGAACGTTGCCAAGAAAAGAAACACACATCTAGGTAGCAAGAATTTTCATTCTATCTGTTAGTTCTAGAGAGGGACTACTCAACAAATGTCAAGTCGTCTTAGGAACCTTAAGAATGAGAAATAATATTTATCATTGAAGGCTACAACGATTTTCTGGGACAAAGTGTTCTTGACACTAGGCTTTGGGCAGCTTAATAAAATGATTTATTATAAGGAAAGTTAATAATTGATTCTGGAAATCAAGATTCTACCTTATTTTTTACAATTATCAAGATGATATAAAAAACTGGTAGAAAGCACAGTGATTCTGATAAATGATGGAAAGTAGTCTTACAACTTTGTTAATTGTCCCCTTGCCCTGGTGTGATTCATAGTTTGGTTTAAAATTATTGTATCTCATGTGTTCACTATTTAAAAAAAAAAACTACCACATAAACATGTGACTAAGATGTGCAATCTTTAGAGAATCAGATATGCCAAGTGCATCCTTTAGTTGTAACACCTCACATTATACCTAGTAGAAATAAAAATTAAGAAACTTAGTTTTAATTAAATGACTTTACAATAAAGTTGTTTCTCTGATTAATATATAGATTAAAGCCTATCAAATATATTCTAGAATATTTCAATGCAATATTTTTGAATTTTAAATCATTGCTTAAGTTGTTCATGACTGACATAAGCAAGACATTTTTATCAAATTGTACTATAACATGAAGATAAGGGAATAACTAATATAAACCTTTCTAGATACTAACAGACAAAAAAACAATAGGCCATACTTATCATGGAAACTGCCATCCTTCTGAAGTCCTTCTCACTTGTCTTAGAAATTAATGCTGCTCAATTACCTCATGCTTTACCACAAGTGGCTTTCACTTCAATTCAATCTTGAGCTTTTTTTATTCTCTATGGCAAATTATAACTTTCTGCTCGTCTTGTTGAATTCTTTCTCAGTACAAAACTTTTGAAAATATTCTTTAAAAGGCAAACATATCAAGTAGAATTGCTACACAAAGGAAAAATTCGTATTTATTGTACACCTAATTTGTGCCATGAATTGTGTCAAACGGTTTTATGTAAATTTAGATCAAATTCAAAATATTGTGTACAGTATGTGGTATTAGGTTACTTAGCACTTAGTTCCACAAACAGAACAGAAATAGATAAAATATCTGTGATATATTCAGGATTCAGAAGTCATGAACTATCTACAGAACAATGTAGCCTAGCAAATGAACATATGAGGAACATCTTCAAAGTCCACATGTTAGGATCCAAAAGGATGCCCTACTTTCATTTCTGTACCTAATTTAATGCCCTAAAATAGAAGACTTCACCTATTCAAAACTTCACTTTGAACACTATTATCAGTGTTCCTTTGTGTTATTGTATCCTTTGATTCCCTCACAGTTCTTTCCTGGGTTGCTATCTATTTGCTTCATTGCCTGTTTCTTTATGGGCTGTCTCAATATCACGTTATTTTCCTGGGTCTTGGGGTTCTGTCTTCTATATACTGCCTTTATTGTCCATAAATCTCCATATTTAATAAGCCAAATTAAACTGAGTAACTGTGTAACAGGATCATTGTCCCTGATCCCCTCCTGCATCTCTGGGTGATTTATCTTTGCCTCCATTTTATATATTCTCTATTCTGAAACAGATGTAAGTTCACAAATATACCAAGATTTTATTCCATCTCATCCTTTTCTTTTATAGTAGTTTCTCATTTCTGCACTTAGAGAATACTTGTACATCATTCATCCAACTCCCTTAAAACATACCATGGCCTATCAGAAGATAAAATACTATATTCAAATCATATAAAGACTTGGTTAAATACAAGATGTATGTCATCAAAAGCTTGCATGTAGAGATAGAAGTAATAAAATGGTCTTTCAACTGATCATACCTTCTGTTTCATAGCCAGTTTGGTTAAGGAGTCTTGTGGTGCTCTCTACTTTCTCTACTTCTTAAGGCTATTTGATGGTTAATCTTTATGATCTGAGGAACTGTTTTTCAACACATTAGAGCATACTAATTTTAGGATATTTTCAGGATTATGTACCTTCTATCATTTGTTTTTCCTCTATTTGATTTAATCATAATTATTGTTATGTTACTAAAAACATATAAAACAGAAAGTTTAATTTTTAGGAAACACCAAAAAAAAAGTATCAAAAGTACCCTGGGTACCCATGAAGCTGTAAGTCTGAAAGCTTAAGATGACAATGCTTTCAGGGATAGCAAGTTTTATCCAGGCCTATGGTTCTCTTTGAAGATCAAGTACCCAGCTGATGTACTCTGTATTATTTTAGATGTGACTGGGGGCAAGGAGATTCTCTTCAATTTTAAATTTTGTTAAAAATCTTAGCCAAGAGTGATAAACTTATTCCAATTTAGCTTCTTCTTTAAACAGAATCCAAGCACAGACATGAAGCCAATCACACCCTTGAAGTGATGTTGAACATGGGTACTGAGTTAGTGGTGTGAGAAGCAGAGAGAGAGAAGAATGAGGATTGGGCTGCATTTTTAAAAGAACCACAGGACTCAGGTTACATTTGCCCAGCCTCTGGGTTGCTCAGGTAAGGAAAAATATCATTAAAAATAGTTACTGATCAAAACACAGTTTAAACACATATCCTGGAATTTTCCATTGCTGAGCTACACACTGTAGATTTGGTTTAGATTCTGCACAGAAAATAGAAATATCTGCTCCTATGAATTATAAAGAATTTGATTTTTAAAAAGCATTTTGTTGCATCATGGACTCAGTATACTTCTGGTTTATATTTTAAAATAACTTCTGATCTATTGAAATCAGTGGATTTTTGGTGTTGTCCAAAACTTTTAAGAGATTCTCCAGAAACATTTTTCCACGTGAAATGTTCAATGTTGGAAATTATCTCAGGAAATTGAGATATAACATATTCACTGTAGTTTCTTAAATGGGTAGCACTGAGTGTTGTATTAACCTTCTTGTAGTTCAGAATGGTAGTAAAAGAGATGAGGAAGCAATGACTTGTCAGCAGGTTCAGAAAAACCAAGAATGGTGCTGGTTAATTCTGATTTGGGGCATGAGGAAAGGAAGATGAACTAAAGAATGACAATGGGTCTCACCAGTAGATTAAGAGAATTCATGTGCAGATTCCTGTAAAGTCTTTGTGGAGACAAAGACTAGGAAGACATAGAGTGAAAAGCAGTCACTGTGCTAGCCAGAGTCTCCATTGCTGTGATAAAAACTGAAAAAAACTTTCCTCCATCTAATGGAGGAAAGATATTATTTTGCCTCATGATTTCAGAAGTTTTGGTTTCTAGTTGGTCATCATCATTACTTCTCGGGCCATGGTAAGAGAGAAAATAATGGCAGAAGGCTTGGTGGAGCAGATATGTGTTTACCTCATAATAGCCAAGAGAGAAAGGAGTGAGTCAGAGGAATATAGGTACAATCTTTGAAAATATAGCACCCCACATAGGCACACATTTCCTCTATTTATTCCTAGTATTTCTACCAATTATCAGTAATGTCATCAAATAATGAAAATGTTATCACTGATTAGGTCAGAACTCTCATGATTCAATCATGCCTCAATGATTAGATCTAATCACTGGGGAACAAAGGTTTAACCTATGACCTTTGGTAGAGATTTTATACCTAAAGGATAACAGCATTCATGGGATCTATTGATGGTAGTTTTTAATGTATAAAACTTAAACAGCTTTGGACTTCTTTATATACTTAGATCAAATGGACATTTTTTTCTGCCTGGAGAACTGACTCCCACCATAGTCTATCTCCCATACCATATTGAAAAGTCTCCTGCCTCCAATTTGTGGCACATGCTTATAGTATGATAAAGAATAGAGCATACCCAAGGTTACCTATTAACATTCTCTGCTTCTCTTCTAATCCTTTGCTATTTCTTTGTGTCAGCAGACAACATGTAGAACACTTAGAAAAACCAACCAACCAACCAACCAACCAACCAAACAAACAAAATAAAAACCAGGGACTCCTAGTTGCCAAACTGCAATGAGACTCAGGTAGATGATTTTCTCTATCCTACTTAGCCTCCATTCCTACCTCTCCAGATTTATTCTTAGTCCTGATGCAGCCTGTCTGTCGGAGCCCCTCCTTCCTTCTTTCCCTGAGGACTCCAACTTTTGGTGTGAACATCCTGTCTCTTTCCCATTGCACCTCTCAGCTTTTGTTCCCAGCCCATCTTTATTATTTCATGTCACCCACTGACCCTCAGAAACACTCTCTACCAGGAACTCCACAGTCACACTTGCCTAGGTTCCAGAGCAGGTAACCGCAATCAAAGAACAAATTACCCACCCAACAAAACAAAACCATATATATATACCAGGAAACACCTCAAGTAGCATATCTCCAGATGCCTACATCCCAGAACAAAAAGAAAAACATGAATAGCCAAAATAATATGCTTCCTCTAGAAGCCAGCCACTTCACTGCAATAAGACCCAAAAATGCTGAATCATAGGACAATGATTTACAAATAGCCATTATGAATAGATTCAAGGACTTTAAAGAGGATATAAATACAGGCCTTAATGAAGACAGTGAAGATACAAAATTGAATGAAATGAAGAAAACATTTCAAGACATGAAAGTACAAATTAACAAAGAATTAGAATCACTAAAGAATACCCAAACTGACCTAAAACTGGAAAAGAAGACTCAGAAACTCAAACAAAATCTCAGAGGTAAGGCTAACAAATAGAATTAATAAAGTGGAAGAGAGAATTTCAGGTCTTGAAGATAATATAGAAGAAATGAATACCTTAGTCAAAGAAAATATTATAATCTTTAAAAAAATCTAGGCACAAAATATCCAGGTAATTTGGGTCACTGTGAAAACACAAAGGCTATGCATAATAAATATAGATGAAAGAGAAGCAGCCAAAGTCAAAGGCACAGGAAATATTGTTGACAAAATCATGGAGAAAGTTTCTAATCTAAAGAAGGAGGTGTCCAACAAGATACAAGAAGCATGCAGAACACTAAATAGGACTAGAAAAGAAACTGCACACAACACATAATAATCAAAATACTAAATGTACAAAACAAAGAAGGGATATTTAAAGCTTCAAGGGATAAATGGCGAAGACAAAATAAAGGCAGGCAATTAGAATTGCAACACTTGACTTTTCAGTGGAGACTCTGAAAGACAGAAGTGCCAGGATGGTTATTTTACCAGCACTGAGAGACCTAAAATGCCATTCCAAACTACTATACTCAACAAAACTATCAATCACAAGTAACAGTGAAAGAAAAATGTTCCACCAGAAACTAAATTTAAGCAATTTATAACTACCAATCCAGCTCTAAAAAAAGGCATTAGAAGAAAACCATCAGTCTGAAGAGGTTATCTACACCCAAGAGGACACAAGAAATGGATAATCTCAAAACAATATATCAAAAGAGGGGTAAAACACCCACACCACCACAACAAAATAACAGGAATTAACGAACATTGCTTCTTAATAACTATAAATATTAATGGCCTAAATTCTCCCAATAAAAATATACAAACTAACTAATTAGATTATAAATCAGGGTACATCTTTCTGTTGCATCCAAAAAAATGCACTTTTATCCTCAAGGAGGATAAAAATCACTGCAGGAAAAAGATATTCCAAGAAATGGACCCAGGAAGCAAGCAGGTGCATCTGTTTTACTGACATTGACTATACTCATTAAAGGATAAATTCACCAAGAAGATACTACAATTCTAAACACTTATGTACCAAATGCAAAGAAACACTATTCTAGTTAAATTACATATTGACCAACACACAGTGGTAGCAGGTGACTTCAGTACCCCACTAGGAACAATGGACTTGGTTATCTATATAAAAGAGAAACAGTGAAGATAGACAGCATCATAAATCAAAAAGGACCTAGCAGACACCTGCAGAATATTTCATCCAAACACAAAAGAACACATATTCTTTTTAGCAGTTCATGAAACTTTCTCTAAAATTGACAACTTATTAGGACACAGAACAAGTCTCAACAGAGATAGTTGATACCAGCTTTAATCTATGGTTACAGAAAAATCAAAATTATTGAAATTAAAAGTTCAAAATATGGACACTACATCAGAAACTGAGGACTTTCAGAGAATCAGGAGAATGTACTTTAAAAATCTCTTCCACAAAACTGGAAAACCTAAAATTAATGGATTGATTTCTTGACATATATGACCTAGCAAAGTTAAATCCAGGTCAAATAAGTAACTTAAGCAGACTCATAACTCCTAGTGAAATGGAAACAATAATTCAAAATCTCCTACCCAAAAAATGCCAAGGACCAGATGGATTCAGTACAGAATTCTGCCAGACTTTCAAATAATTAATGTCAAAATCCTCAAATTATTTCACAAAGTAGAAACTGAAGATATATTTCAAAGTCCATGATCAAGTTGGCTTCATCTCAGAGATGCACAGAGATTTCAACATACATAAATAAATAAACATAATATATTTCATAAACAGATTAAAGGACAGAAACCACATGTGTAATAGGACAAGTCCATAGGGTTGAGGAAATTGGCTCAGACCAGTAGCCAAGGAAAGCAAATAATGAACTCTTTTATTCAATAACAGGGTGGGCCTTATATACCCTCCTCCCAGTGCCCAGTGTGTGTGGTCATCCCTCATTGCCTGGGCATGATTAGGAACTCTGACAGTGACTGTTGCTAGGTGCTCAGGCAGACTCAGCATGATCAGGAACACGCATGGTCAACTTATTTGATGCAGAAAAGACAACTCCAATTTCTTCATGTTAAAAGTCCTGGAGAGATAAACAAATAAATATAATTTGTAGCAGGACCTCAATCACCATTATTAATAGAAATTTGAATAATTTCCACTAAATTCAGGAACAAGACAAGGATGTGACTTTCTCCATAGCTACTCAACATAGTTCTTAAGGTCTTAGCTAGATCAGTAACACAACTGAAGAAGATCAAGGGGATACAAACAGGGAAGTAAGAAGTCAAAGTATCTTTATTTTCAGTTGATGTAATTTTATAGATAAAAGACCCCTTAAACTCCATTAGAAAATTTCTACAGCTGACAAACACTTTAAGCAAAGTAGCAGGATACAAAATTAATACACAAATATCAGTAATCTTCCTGTATACAAGTGTCAAAATAAACTGTGAAAGAAATCAGGGAAGTAATAACTTTCACAATAGCCTCAAAATTAACTTGGAATCATGTTGACCAAGCAAGTGAATGACTTGTAAAATAAAAATTTATGACATTGAAAAAAAAATTGAAGGAGATATCAGAAGATAGAATAATCCCCTTGCTTATTGCTCAGTAGGATTAATATTGTGGTTCTGATCATTCTACCAAAAACAATCTACAGATTCAGTGCAATCTCTATCAAAATTCTAATATACTTCTTCACAGAATTTGAAAAAAAAATCTTTATCTTCATAAAGATACACAAAAAAACCCAAACAAAAAGGTGGTTAAAAATAGCCCTGAGTAATAAAAGAATTGCCAAAAGATCCACCATTCCAGATTTCAAGTTGTATTTATAGAGCAATAAAAACTGTATGATATTGGCATGAAAAGAGACACCTTAATGAAAAGCATCAAACTGAAGAACCAGACATAATTCCACATATCTACAAACATCTGATTTTTAAAAAGAAGCCAAAAATACCCATTGGAGAAAATATATCTTCAGCAAAAGGGTTGGTGAGACTGGACGGTTGCCTGTAGAGGAATGAAAATAGATCTATATCTATCACCCTCTACAAAATTCAACCACAGTTGGATCATCGACCCCAAAATAAATCCATATACACTGAGTATGATAGAAGAGGATGTGGGGAATAGACTTGGATTCATAGGCACAGGAAAGGGCTTTTTGAATAGGACACCAATGGAACAGGCATTAAGACCAAAAACTAATAAATGAGACATCATGAAACTGAGAAGCTTCTGTGTGGCAAAGAACAAATTACTCTGGCAAAACTGAAGCCTACTGGATGGGTAAAGATCTTAGCAAATTATACATTTGATAGAGAGCTAGTCTCTAGATTATAAAAAGAACTACAAAGTGTTATCTTTAAGAACCAAAGGAACTGAATTTAAAAAATGGGGTACAGAATTAATCAGAAAGTTCTATAAAGATGAAATATAAATGACTAAGAAATATTTAAAGAAATGTTCAACATCCTTTAACTATTAAAGAAATATAAAATTAAAACTAACTTGTGATTGATATATTGTGCATCCCAATAAACTTATCTGGGGGGTCAGAGAACAGAACAGCCACAATATTAAACATAGTCAGTGGTAGCACATGTCTTTAATCCTAGCATTCCAGAGGCAGAGATCTGTTTGGATCTCTGTGAGTTCAAGGCCACACTGGAAACAGCCAGGCATGGTGACACATGCCTTTAATCCCAGGAAGTGATGATGGAGCAAACATGTATATAAGGTGCGAGGATGAGGAACTAGAGTCTGGTTAAGCTTTTAGTTTTTAGCAGCAGTTCAGCTGAGATCCATTTAGATGAGGACACAGAAGTTTCCAGTCTGAGGAAACAGGATCAGCTGAGAAGTTGGCCAGGTGAGGTTAGCTGTGGCCTGTTCTGTCTCTCTGATCTTTCAGCATTCACGCCATACCTGGCTCCAGGTTTGTTTTTATTAATAAAACCTGTTAAGATTCCTGGTACACTAACTTGATATTTCATTTATACCAGTCAGAATGTTCAAAATCAATAATTAAATAAAAAGAAAGCCCATGTTGGTGAGGATGAAGGAAGAGTGTAGTACTTATTCATTGATTGTACAGGCACACACTTATACAATCACTGTGGAAACCAGAGCATTGGTTTTTCAGGAACCTGAGAATTGAACCACCTTAATATCCAGCTATAACACTCTTGGACAAATACTCAAAGGATTATACATTCTACTACAAAGATGCTTGCTCAAGCATGTTCATTATTTCACTATTATTATAGACAGAAATTAGAACAATATAGAGATCCATCCGTTTGTGAATAAATAATGAAAATGTGGTACATTTACACAGTGGAATATTATTCATCTGTTTAGAAAAATGAAATTATGAAATTTGCAGTTAAATTGATAAAATTTGAAAAAAGTTATCATGAGTAAGTAAACCCAGCCACAAAAATACAAATATTGTATGTTTTTACTTATATGCAGATATTAGTTTTTAAGCTTTCAATATGCACGCTACAATTTGAATACCCACAGAGGTTAGATACCTAGTAAGAGACAAAGGGGATCTCTTAAGAAAGGGGAAATAGAATATAGACTTATGGAGAGATATAGGGGAAAATAGAATAAGAAGATCAAAAATAGGTGAGGGAGAGCAAGGTAAAGTACTGAACACAGGGAGGGCCAACTAACACTAAATTCCTTTTGACAATCAGTATGGAAACCTACTATAGAAATTTCCTAAAATATATACCTATATGAAATGAATCTAAGTGAAGTTATGATGTAATTGGTGACAAAATGCCCCAAGAAGACACATTATGACCCAAATAAAGTCTTCAGAGTCAAGAATAGGTTACATTTGTTGAGTCGTTGGCCGAAGGAGTCCCATGGAAACCTCCAAAAACTGTAGGCCATAGCCAGGGCTATTAATTGTTCTCTCCAATGTGCTTATAAGGCCCTATTGTAGAATATAGTACTTTTGTAACTGA